TGATACATATAATTATCTTAGAACGTTTTGGGACGGATGCTTGCTTCAAAAATATATTTTAAAAGTATTTCTAATTTATATATTTCCTAAAAAATAGTACCAGAATACGGTGATCAGATAAGAACCGCGATGCTGTGAAGTCTATAGGCTAGAAAGGAAGTTGCAGCAATGGCGACCTTCTCTTCCAGTGAACTTGCAGTTTGTCATTCGTAATAGCCATATTTCATGATAATTTCAGTACACTACTGAAGAATTACTGTATTACTTAGCACAACAGTTAACATAAAGTTAAACCCGACACATAAAACAGTCAAACCCGACCTGATATGATCGGGGTCTGATATGGTACGTTGGGGTCTGATATGGTAGGTCGGGGTCTCGTATTGTATGTTGGGGTCTGATATGGGGAGCCTGATATGGTAGGCCACGTTCCAACTCTAATAGGGAAGAATACCAGCAAATCACTCCTACTCAATGACTGAACACATTAATATACCTTAATTGGAATCCTTGATGAGACATGGAGGACGCCTTTTCGGCTTCTCAATCACGCTTCATCTATTTGTTTTTAAATAGTCACAACAGCGTCATACACTAAATATGGTTAGAAACTGGCTCTGATTGTTAACGTAAAGTTTCCAAAGCAGGATCAAAATGATTATTTGAGTTCTTTCATCGTGTTGAAAAATTAGATCGAATGAGAACAGTTTACGTGATGATTTAAGTCTGCTATGAATAACAAAGCTAAACTTGTTTTATACTCTCTAGTTTTGGTGAGTCAACAGAGTGAAACCAAAACTAACACACGTCAGTAACAGGACCTTTTCCTCTGAAAATAAGCAAAAGGGAAGAGGTTAGGCGAATTATAACTACACAAAACGGTGCTTCCAAGCAATCATTCGTGTTACTTATTAATTCGCATGACTCACTATTGGCGCTTACAGCAGGAAGAAAATCAGTCACGCGATTCGTGACATCTCTTTCAGTGTAAACTCTAGATCTTGTGTACATCCACGCTGCTAGTCACAAATACCTTACAGTTTATAAACTTATCGTGTTCAGTTTGTCAGTCTTGTGATTAAGTGGAGCCCAAAGTGAGAGAAACTGAAACAGCACTGAGGGAGTTTCCCCGCAAGACTATAGGAGGTCCAATAAGAAGTCAAAACAAATTAAAATTGAGATAAGATTCAAACGTTGAGCAGAACAATCGAATAAAAACATTCGAAAGTAAGTTACACTTTTTAATTTCCATACTTTGTTGAATACTGACGATAAAGTCTAATTTTTAACATAGCTAATATTCAGTATAATTATTTTCTAACTAGACAAAGTTCTTTCAATTGTTGTATGTTGCTGTTCGCTCTTTGGCTTACCGTTGCATAAAACACAATAGCTGTTAACTCAGTTCTGTCTTATAGATTAACTAACAGAAACGTTGCGGTTATCTAATTAATACACTGTGGAAAGATTCTTCACAGTCCTAGACCTTCCACCATAAATCTTGGCATCTTTGTTTGTTCTTTTGAAGCTTCTCGGGCTTAAAATCCATTCCTGTTTACTATTCAACTCTGTGTTGGCTGATTGAAATAATTTACATTTCACGCCGGTTACTGTCATAGACAGACTGACTTGCTCTGAAGAAAAATAACACAGCTGTTGAAAGCTACTTTACCATCGTTTTGTTGTAAAATATGGAAGATCATAAATTAACTTTTCATCAGTTTTCACTTTATATTGTATTTTGTACGATTTGGTCGATTTGAAACTCTCGTTTTCCCAAGGGAACAGACATCAGAACTGACAGAGCTATAAACTTTGTTCTTTACCAGCAGATGGTGGAGCTTGAAATTAAACGTCACACATGATTGTCTGAAGTTCATGGCTACTCCGTAAAAACTAAAATCGTAAATTAAGGTTTCAGCAGTTGCATTTTGATGGGTCGTAATAACCACTCTTTGCCACTTGATGCTACAATCATGGTATCAAAAACCTGGCCAATCATTAGTTAACACGTTGTTATCATTTTTGTGACAGAATAGGTTACCACAGCAACAGTATGACCTACTAAAACAGCCTAAATTACAGGTTTAGGGCTTATGATTAAAAAACGACAGGGTGAATTTTTTTATATTATAAAATTTTGATAAGCACGATAAAACGCAACTTTTGGCAAAGTTTAAAAAAATCCTGTATATAGGGTTCAGGGCCACCTTAAATTTTCAAAAATTTATCAAACTGTTATTAGCTTCTCAAAAGGAATCATGTCTATCAACAACAAATGTCGAAAAAAGTTTTGAAGTTCATATAAAACACTTGAAAGTACTGCTGAAATTAAACTGATGATGAAATTTCATCTACTGTGTTTGCGCAATTTCTCTGAACTTTGAAATTTATTTTCTCAAGTTTCTCTGGGAAAATGCTTCCGGTGTTATTTCAGGTAACTATTTATATCTCTAGCTTCAAGAAAATGTAAAAAGGACTGTCAAATACCTAAAATTATTCTGGTACCAGGTTTTTGTCCACCAAAAATTGAAATTGTTCGATCTCCTATCGGATTTCGTTTTAATCTTTGTTTGGAATTGTCAAGGGATTTCAAGTAATATTTTGGCTTTGTAAATAGGGAAGTTTTCATGCTTAAGCATACTATACAATCACTTGTTCTGAATCACGTAGTTAACTTTCATGGGATAGTATCTCCAAAAATTGCAACTGAAATTCCATATTTGTTCAAAACCGTGCTTCAAAACTTCAGCACGAAGTTCTGGGGAATGAACCCCACAAACTCTATACTTATTCCCCGGAGCCTCGTACTGAGGTCTATTGTTTTAGGTTGAATTTTATTATATCGAAATTGGTTTATTATTCGCGTGCCTCACTTTTAGCTATGACAACATGAAGAAAATCAGTCACGTGATTCATAAAAACCTCTCCAGTATAAATGTAAAGTATTAATAATTAGTTTAGTACTTGTATATACGTGCACCCAACTCTATCAGTCACGGACAGCTTGCAGTTATTGCGTTTTTTGCTATCTCCACTTTTGTTAACATACTACTGGGAAAGTCCAATAAGCAAATTGAACGTGCATCACTTCGTTTACAGAGGGATGAATGTTTCTGCCGAAGTTGTTCCTAGTACACTGGAACTCCGCGTTACGGTCACCTCGTTATTA